TTTTCATTTTCAATTTCATAGATTGTTTATAATGACTTTTGCTAAAATTTCAAAATCAAAAGTTAGCAAAACAAATTCTATGGGACTGAGAAATATTATTTTCTACTTTTTAGTCCATTTATAAAAGCGTTGTATATTAAAAAGTTTTTTTATATTATTTTTCATTGTTACTTTGGGAAGTTTTCAAATAGAGTGTTGATATTAGAGGCACTTGACATTGGCATCAAGTACAACATATCCCTGAAGTTTCAAGAGTGTAGCAATTGGAAAATGCAGAATATATGTAGCAGCTATTTTGTTACTTTTGAAATTTTAAGATTTTTTTAATTCTAGTAATTGAATATGCTTCAAAATGCCAAAATTAAACGGCGAAAATATTATTCTTGCCAAAACAAACGAATCTATTGCAATAAAATTAGTGTGTCACCAAAAAAAAAAAAATTTGCATTGAGTAAAAGGCGACTATTATTTGAGAAACTAAAATTCCATTTTTAAAGTTTTATTGGCACACTCGAAATTCATTCTAAAATTGTTATATACATGAAGAAAGTAGTATATGCATATCGTCGTTTAAAGTACAAAACCGCGTATCGTCATTCTGCAAAACCGCGTAACTGACATTGGCTGCCAAAAATTGGATTTTCTCACCGAAACTCTTGGCTCAAGCCTTATCCATTCGTCCTGAAATATACTAGCAAGAAGTGCGATTGCTTTATAAAAAAGTGAACCGTTTTGAAATATGAATGATTTTACTCTCTAGAAAGTAATTTTTGTAAAAGGTCCGTACTTAGCTTTATACATTGAAATACGCAAAATAAGCATGATCGTTAAAATTAAGCTTGGACACCCTGAATAAGCAAAATAAGCAATTCCAAGCAAAAACTTAAACTTTTCGGCCTTATTATAAGCGAAACTGTAGGTTGTGGGCGTCCAAACTTTTTTCTTTGCCAACCATTTTTTGGTTTGATTTTGTCTAAAATTTTCCGATTCTGAAGCCCAGTATTTATGTTTTTTACCAGAGATCGTAAATAAAAATTCTGTTCAGATTTTAAAACATCAAAATCAAGGCGGACGCCACAAAACGGCAGAGAAGCTCGGCTAAACACCAGCGCGAATCTATTGTTATTAATATTATTATTATTACTTTTTAGGCATTGATAAAAGAATAATATGGTTCTAGATTTTTTTAGGGTTGTTCGAGATTTTTCGCCGATTTTTCTTGGTATTTCTTGGTTTTCTGTTATTTTTTAAGGAAATATTCCACAAGTTTTGATATTTGATTTTGCCTCAGAAAAATTAAAAAGCCGACATAAATTTGGCTTTTTGTAAATATCAAAAGTACACACTTATGAAGTTAGGTAAAATAATATTCTTACAGATCAGTGGAAATTGCTGCAAAAATACAGTAAGCCTTAATAGCACTTAATTTTTAAATAAACAATAAACAAACTGTCTGAAATGATTTATGTTTTAATTTAAATTGCAAATCTCTTAACAACCATTTACAGTTAAAATTATCGCTAACAATAATATTAGTAATTTATTCAAATGATCTATTCCTCGGAACTCTTACATACAAACAGGTCTACATGGAGTGATGGACAATAAAATAGAAGCATTCAAATTTCGAGGTGCACAGATCGACCTAATGCACAAAATCATTTTTTCTTAGGTGCAGCCAAATTATAACAGCAGAAATGTTGAACCAAAACGTTTCTTAATGCAAGAAAAAAGTTTAGGAAAAAGTTCAAAAACTCTTAAAAAGATAAATAAGTAATAAAAATGTTCCTCGGCTTAATGTTAAACAAAATTGTAAAGTTTTTTGCAGTTCAATATTGTAACATGCATGATTCCATTTTATTCTTAGTAACTACATACATACATGTATGTACATATACACCCAAAAACAAAATAATTTACAAATCAGTTTCAGCCAACGCGTTGTAACTTTAGGCAATTACAATTTCGTTTATCAACATATTAAAATCAAAAGTGATTGCATTACTCAATCTAAGTTATAAATCATCGCTGCTATTTAGAAATCACCTCGTTTGTATACACATACATATGTACATACATATTTACTTGTATTTTGCGATACATACATATGTATGTACAACATCGGTCATACCAATAATATATATCAAATTGATATTGTTTGTAACTCATGTTTATTCTTTTATTTTCAAGAATTTTCAACTAAAGAACAATACATTCCCTAACCAATCCCTCATAAACCCATCTTTAAAACTTTGTAGAAAACTAAACAAATATTCAATAAACATTCATCCAAATATTAAACTTTTTTAAAAGCGTTCGATTTTTTTGGAGTATACAGTTTGCTAGCCCCTTCAATTTGAGTGCAATAATGTGCAAGTTTCAAGTGGCTAAAAATTACGCTTAATTTTTAGTTTTTTTTTTGCCGAAGGTGTTGCGGGTTTCTTCCATATAAAAATAAATTTTTTTTATTCGTTGTATTCTTAGTAGGTTGAATAAGGAAATGGATATGGATTAGCAACATAATTTTACAGGATGTGTATATCTCTGTTGTTAGCATTGCTGTATTCGCACATCGATGATGTGGGTTCGATTCCTGCTGAAGTCTAGAGAAAGAAGTCGGAAGAGGAGAGATGTGGTGATCTCCGCAATAGCAGCTATAACTTCTACCGTTTAGACTTTGTTGCTGTTTCCATGTTTCTTAAAAACAATATTGTGGTACAAAGCTCAATAACACTGTTAAAGTAAAAACAATTGTTTTGGTATACATTTCTTTTGCTATTGAATATTTCTATCATTTACTAATTTCATTTGCTTGAAACTTTACATTGCTTGATTCTTTCCCATTCTTCTCTCCACAGTTACCTCACAGAGTGTTACGATGAACTCGGCACACAATACAAAGTGCCAATCTATTGTCTATCGTATCCTATCAATATTGTTAAAGAGGAAAATGGACGCGATTCACCAGCGGAATTCTCAGAGCCAGTCGATGGTGGCACTGAAGTATTCTTAAAATTACGAATATCGTCTACAATGTCTGATGTTAAATTACCAGTATACTCAAAAGACACTGTAGGACAGTGCAAAAAGAAATTACAGGTGAGCTGAGCGAAATTTTAAATTTATTTATTTATGTCCAATTAGTAATTTCCACTTTCGTTTGTTTTAGGCTGTGGAAAGCATCGATGCCTGCTGCCAGCGTTGGTTCTACAGCGGCAAATTACTCGGCGATAAAGTGCCCATAGACGAGTGCAACATACAGAATGGTTATGTGGTGCAAGTGATCGTCAATACGGAGCATTATAATCACGATAACGGTACAATCATACCAGTTGCAAGCTAGCCTAGTGTCTATGTCTATACCAGCGCAAAACAAATAAAATTAGCAACGAGAACCGCAGCAGCAACAGCAACACGATTATTAGTAGTAACAACAACAACAACAACAACGCCAACATCAGCAATAACCATAACAAAAGTGTGCATTGATGCTGTCACACTATTTGCATACGTCATAGTTAAAATATTTATCAACACTTTAATTATGAATGAGATAACAAAAAAAAAAAATCTCTCACAGCAGACAAACAGAGTGTTATGTAAATTTTAAATTATACACTTGAAGTGTGCATTAGTGCAAGCGCTCTGTTGAGTAGGTGCACATTGTTGTTGTACAGCGAAATAACGCTGATCGTATGATGGTTTGAAAGCATTCATTGTTTGTGTTTTTTTTTTTGAGTAATTTCAACGTTTGCATCAAATTTTGCTACACTCTTTATGATACATAACAGCGTGAAGGCATATTGTTGTTGCGAAAATCGTAGAAAAATCGTTTGGAAACTGTGCGTCTGCGGCTGTCCGCTGGCATGCATTTGTTGGTTGGTTAATTGTTGGTTGTTGTTGCTGACCGACTACTGTTGTTGCTGCCAAGCGCTTACAAGCAACCGACTGTGCAGCAGATATTACATATGTACATACACAAACGCATATATACACATATTAAATAAATGTATACACACATATACATACTAAATATTTAGAATGAATGGTTGATTGACTGATGAAAGTAATGAGAATATGCAAAATTTGTATTTAAAACGAAGAAAAAAGCGTTTCCTTGAAATAGAAGAAAAGATTTGAAATTTTTATGCGAAAAAAAACTAAAGTTTTGTTATTTAATGTATCAAAATCTACTGAAATTAGTAATTCCTATTACAAGTTGTATGTACAGGATAACTAGTATAATATTTAGCATTTTCCACAACTAATTTTTTGTATTTTTTAGGTAGTAATTAAAGTGTGAAACACAAAAATGTAAATTGTTCTAAGTAAAAGCAGATGTGCTGAAAGAAAAAAGAAGTGAATTAAGAAACAACTGAAAGGGAAAAGAAAACTGAAATTACCAGGGATGAAAAACAATCACTTTTATTTGTAATTTATGTAATAGAAATTTATTTGAATATATAGGCGTATTTGCGTATGTTACTCTTTTATTAATGAGTAAGGTCAATTAAAAGTTTATGTTACTTCTTGATTAAAACTTTTTTGATTTTGGTCTTAGGAAACTTACATTTCGCTCCACTGCTCAAGAGTAAAGATATTTCGTCTACTACTACTTTATCAAAATTTAATTGTAATTCTTTAAATTTTATTGAATAATAATTTCGGTTACATATTTTTAATAACTTCGCGCTGGAGAAAGTAAAGCCTTACCATTTGACATTTATAATATTTCACATACCCAAATTAGTATTTGCTAATTAAAAGTTTGCCATTTCGCAATTTCGAATTTTTTATGGCAGAGCAACGCGCTAGAATTGTTGAATCATTCTACCAAAATGTTAAATTATAGGTGACTGCATTTTTGAGCATTTCCTCTGTGATAAGGCCCATTTCACTCTTGGCGGTTATGCTAATAAGCAAAATTACCAAACGATGAAGAAGCAATAGCCAATTCTCAGAGTTATGCCGGCATTATCAATGACAATTTTTGGCCTAAAATTGATAATCTCGAACGCTTAATCTCGATATGTGGCATAGAGGGTTGCCTATCAAGATTCTGTAATTCACCGCTTTTGGATTCCTATTTCTGGGGATATGTGAAAGACGGTTTTTTAGCGAACATTTCCACAACTCTGATGCGAATGAATAACGAGATACGTGAAGTTATCATGGAGGTATTGTCCGAATTATGAGAGAGGCATTGAAAAACACCTCAGAAATATTAGGTCCTGAAAACTATACTATGTTTTTTCCTTAACTTTACTTCCCAAGGAGAAAATGGATTACCCTGCGGAATTTACATACACAGACTTAGTTGACTCTACTTTAACTGGGTAAATGGTTTCGAGCGAAAAGAGAGTAAAAATAAAACCATCAACGTAGAAAAAATCAAATGTACTTAATAAAAAAAATTTTAATATTTAACAAATGGGAAAAAGCCGCAATGTTTTTAATAAAAGCAAAAAAGTGAAATTATATTTTATGCAAAATTAAGAAGTAAAATAAATCTCAATCCTTAATTTTGAGTAAAAACAATAAAAACGAAGTTTTCAAGAACAAAATACAAACAACAAAAAATAGCAGAGGCATTCCCTCAAGTATCCTCAAAAGTCACGAAATTTTTAATGACCTGTTAAACTTTCTGAAAAATACATTCGATTTTTGAGTTTTCCATTTTTTTCACCTAAGGGAATCACCTAAGTATTATTTTATACTCATCTGAAATATCCGAAATAACGGCAAAAAAGTTTGTAAATAAAAAAAATTAATATATTTAAAATAAGAAGCTATCGAAAAAATAAAAATAAAATAAAAATTATATAAAATTACACAGAAAATTTAAATTAAATTAAATATAATATAATAAAAAATAATATTACATTAAATTAATCATGTAAAATAAAATAAAATTAAAAAAAAGCAAAATAAAATTAAATAACTATGGAAAAAATAAAATTAATAAAGTAAGACAAAAACAAAATCAAAAATAAAAATAAATAAAAAACTAAAACAAAATAAAATTAAAATTTTTATTTTTTATTTTATTAAATTTTTAATTGTTAATTGTTATATTTTGAATTAAAAAATTATAAATTGTAAACAAATTAACCACAAAATAACAAAAATCTCTTTTATGTTAAACTCATTATGATTGCCATCCCTGGAAAGTGAAAACTGAATATAATCAAATAAATGAAACAGTACATAAGCTTACAATAAAACAAATATATCTACAAACAAACAAAAAAATGTATATATAGTACATATACGCGAAATAAAAGTATTTTTTGTAAACGTATGAAAGCCAGCAAACTCCGGTCAATGTGCAACGTATAATAAGCATACATTTTTTGAAATAACCGTTGTAACTTGTGTAAGTAAATGCAAAACACAAGCACATACATATATCGTCGTTTAAAGTGCAAAACCGCGTATCAACAAAATGCAAAACCGCGTATCAGCAAAATGCAAAACCGCGTATGTGAAGTTTTAGAAATTATTTTCTAGAGTGTAAAAACACTCATATCTCAAAAAGGGTATCTTTTTTATAAAGAAATCGCATTTCTGCCTAGTATATTTCAGAACGAATGGATAAGGATTGAGCCAAGAGCTTGTGTGAGCAAATCCAATTTTTGGCAGCCAATGTCAGTTACGCGGGTTTGCAGAATGACGTTACGCGGTTTTGTACTTTAAACGACGATATACATACATAAAAAAAACAAAACGAATACATAAGTCCCATATAAGAAAGAGAAACAGCATGAAAATGAAAGAAAAATCAAACCACACAAAGAAATTATTAAAGTTCAAGCACAATTTTTTCTTTCGTTTTGTAAAAAAAGCGCATTCATTTTTCGCTCAAATTCTAAAATCCCAATGTACCTTAATTCTTCATATTTTTAATGCATGTACTATGTATGTATGTATGTAGTTCAGCAAGTGGCACACTTTTGGCATACATATGTACATGCATACTTGCATACTATAAGCATGTAATTATACATACATAAATGTTTAAGTTAGTGCGTACTCTTTTATGCTGTCAGCTCAGTTAGCATTCATTTTTTATGGTTTTTTTTTTGTAGATTAGCTCCTTGTGGCCTAATGCTTTGTATTTGATATATATATATATAATATTTAATTTAATTGTAGATATACTTACGTACATATGTATGTTACACGAACGCCATTACGCTTTCATTTAGAATTAGTTTAATATTTAAAAATATTTGAAGCTGTTAAATTTGATAAATAAAAATGGAAAAAGAATACAATAAATTGAACTGCTGCGTCCACAAATTTCTGTGTATAACCTATTCTCACTAGAACTTCCCAGTGGTAAAATGCAATGTATGGTAATCGAAAAAAAATGAGTAAAACAACCCTTTTCACATTCGAAAATGCATTTTTTCCCAAGGCATTTTCCAAGAGGGGCATTCAATTTATCAGTACCTAGTATCAAGGAATGTATGTGATTTAATATGCAATTTTTGGGACTTTTTGAATACATTAGAATGCTGATTACATATTGATCAGTAATAGAATCTAGAACTCATAAGAAATACATTACATTATTTATTACGCATGTAATGCATTACTACTTTTCCCATTGCGTTGTAAGCGGCGAAAACATAGAAAATCTACAACGATATTTTAGATCAATTAGCCTCAGTTCCTTTCTAATCAAAACTCCTAAATTTAGTTTTTAACGATGTCGTTAGTATCTACCGGTATATATAGGAAGGTATTTGTTTTAAAGCAAATAAACAGCTCAGCACAAAAATATTACATGTACACCAGAAAAACTGCACTGACTTTTTGAACAACCCAATATGATAACGGACCTAGGAGGCAGTAGGCAATTAATAAGGTCCACTCGTGTTTGTCCCTATGGAGGTGTTCTAGCTCCCTTACTATGGACACTGGTTGTTGATGGGCGGTTGGAAAGCTGAAAAGTAAACGGATTCAACGTTTTAGGTTTGGCAAGATGCCATTGATTGTAGAAACCCAATAACCCCGATAAGTCCACAGTAAAGACTTGCGCCAAAAGAAGGAAAGTCAATTTGACTAAACCCACACTGGAAGGAAAGGATTTTGAGTTATCAAAAGAGGCGGAGTATCTAGAGATAACCGGGGCCACAACTAGAACTCATACTACATCGCAGATACCAACAAAGGCTTCATGGTAAGACATGTGGATATCCCCCTAACTGATGTTTTGGCCATTCAATATATTGAAAAAACCGTAGTACGCGACAAGAAAGTTTTGCAATCCCTTTTTTGAAAGCACCGTTCCATCGATTTCAATGAAACATTCACCGATTTAAAGGATATGACTTCCTCTAACCCAGAAATGTTAATCCCGACACATAGTTAATTAAAATAGGATTCCATAGATAAAAACAATCATATATATAAAATAATGCAACAGATTTATTCTTCCGTTTATTGCAACAAAAATAGGCAGTTTATTCCTATCCCTTTGAAGTATTCCTCTCTCAAATTAATAGTACAAAGTCCACATATAAGATAATTTAAGTAGGAACTCAATAATGCCAGATAGTATGATACAAATTATTCAATCATGAGGTAAATTGTCATAGTAGGTGTGGCAATCTTCAGGAAGTAATCGTTTGAAATACTGGAGATCTCATACTTTCCGCGAGCAATCCTACGCCTACTCTCGTATAAATTCGGAAGGTGAGAAAACGGCAAGGAAACAGCTACTGGGGATTTTCTTTGCGTTGGAGAATCTTAGTTTGAAATGTATGTCGCCACTTGGTGTATACCGTAGGGCTCGTATATCAGTTACTTTAGCAGCACCTTTCAACGTATTCTGCAGGAACATGGATATCTTTTTTCTTAAGTGCTCATTCAATAGTGGAATGGATACAATCAGCTTCCATTTGGGTATGGCCTACTTCAAGAAACTTTTGCTCAATAATGATATTGTTATTTATAGCTGTGGATAACAAAGCATTAGCCATAATACAGTTTCGGTTTTGATATGTGCATCCGTCGCTATAAAAAATTACTGTAATTGGCTCCCCGGAACTATTGTTTGGTACTAAATTTGTTCCTATCAAATCTACCCACACGCTGGAAAACTCTTCTGCATTTAATCTTCCTTCTGTTTCGTTCCATAAGTAACAATAATTTCCTTGAGATATAAAAAATTAAAGCTTATTCGCTGGCTATTACCTTGGCTTAAACGCATAAAGTAAGTAATACTCTAAGATAGAACAATAATCGAGCGACAAAAGCACAATATGCTGGATTTAGCAGTTGAATTTGACCTGATTGTACTTAGCAGCTTTACTCATCAATAAATTTTTGACAATTATATTTTTATATTGCCGCAAGGCGAATTAATATAAGGTGATAGCAGGAGTACAAAAACAAAAATTTACAAGTATTTTGTTTTTGCTTTGGCGGCATAAATTGTCAAAATCTGTAAGAGTGTGTGTAGAAATTCAAACAAAATTTTTCAATTTGATATCAGAAGCCGTGGGGCGAAACACATACACAAAATCAGCTGAGCTAGTAACACCACCTTATATATGTAAATTCGCCTTGTATTGGCGTATTTTTTGCTTGCCAACTGCGGAATCCCCTACTCCTTCGAACTGCATCAAAAGGTCAATTTCGCCAAAAAACGGATTTAGCAGGATTACACTTTCAGCCGACGATATGTTTTCAATACTGTACTTACGGCAAAAAAACGTAGATTTTGGAAGAGAGGGCGTGGCACCGCCCATACAAACTGAAATTCTCATAACGCTTATCTCTGGAACCGCTTATGCTAACGTTCTGAAATTTTACACAGGTATTTATGATATCAATACCGTATTTGTGGCGAAAAGTAGATTTTGGAAAAGGAGGCGTGGCACCGCCCATACAAACTGAAGTTCTCATACCGCTTATCTCTGGAGCCTCTTATGGTAACGTCCTGAAATTTTACACAGCAATTTATGATATCAATAACGTACTTATGGCGAAAAGTGGTAGATAATGGGAAAGGGGCCGTGGCACCACCAAAAAAACTGAAATTCTCATATCGCTTTTCTCTGGAACCTCTTATGGTAATGTCCCGAAAATTAACACAGCAACATATGTTGTCAATATCGTACATATGGCGAAGAGTGGTCGTTTTTGGAAAAGGGGACGTGGCACCGCCCATAGAAACTGAAATTCTCATATCGCTTATCTCTGGACCCGCCCATGCTAACGTCCTGAAGTTTGACACAGCAGCATATGTGGTCAATACCGTACCTATGGCGAAGAGTGGTAGATTTTGGAAACGGGGGCTTGGCAGCACCGCCTATACAAACTGGAATTCTCATAGCGCTTATCTCTGGAACCGCTTATGCTAACGTCCTGAAATTTTACACAGCTATTTATGATATCAATACCGTACTT